CACTTAAGGCTTTTTGGCATCAGTAAAACTTCCGTAGATATGCCTGGTCTTGTGTGCCTGGGCTGTAATATTTGGCCATGTGGGAGCAGGCCAGGAAAAATAGGGCAGGCTTGGGAACTGGCCACTTCCTCACATCTTCCTAGTTTCCATTAATGTATGGAGGTGTGTCAAAATGATTTCAATGGTTCCTTCCAGCTTCAAAATGAGACATACCTATGATTCTGTGCCCAGTCTTCTCAGAGCACCTCACGGTCAACCTCATGGGCAATAGAAATCCTTCTTCAAGGCCAATTATGCTCTGGATGATTCTCAAACAAAGCATCATGCTAGGGGGTCTGTGATTCTGTGATACAGTCTCCTCTTGTTATCTTCTTAGTGAACCCTCAGAGCTGCTTGTCAATGAAAGGAGAGGGCTTGATCATGCCCCATTACATTATCGTGAATCATCGAGCCTGGCCATGCACAGGTTTCTCATGATATTTCTCTTGGGTTGTTGTTTATTTGTTTGCAAAGCCCTTTGCCATTTGCAGCAGGGCCCTGGGACTGCTGCTGGGGGCAGGGGTAATTATAGGTATCTGCAGGGAGGTGGCACACTCATCAAACTCTAGCCATCTTCCCTGGAATTGCCTTTGATCCAGTTCTTAGCCAGGAAAGTAGCCATTAAGAGATGTCTATCTTTGGTTTCATTTACATGAGAGAAAACAGGACTAAACTGGCAATGGATGGTTTCATGTTCTCTGACGTAATCTCTGCCCAGGCTATGCCTAGAGCTTTCAAGGCCCTTGACTCATATTCCCATGGAGCTTCCCACAGTCTTGGGACCAAGACCCTGTGACTCCAAGGCAGACTCCCAAGGTGGTGATGGCTTCCAATGTGGTGTATGCTCACTAGGAAATTCTTACTTCTGTCCTCCTTTATTGTTCAGAGAAAGGAATTTGAAGGTCTCTAAAGTTTTCACACTAATTTCTTCTTCTCATTAGAAAAGAAATAAAAGAATATTAATGAAAATTCAGAAACCAGTGAAAATAAAAATGCTTTATTGGTTACTCCAACTTCATTGTTCTGAAAAAGCTAGAATGTTGACAAAATTCCTCCTATTGTTATTTGTATTCATAAAAGTTTTTGGTTAAACATAATTGCTTTATGAGATACATTCAACTGGGACTTACCTTTTCCCTTTTAATATATTTTAATCACTGTAAGTTCTATCATGTACATGCCCAAATTTATTTCATCAAACTATTGTGTATTTAAATGGTTTCTTACTAACATTGTGATAAACACTTATATTTTATATTATATAGCTTTTCATTGTAGAATTATTTTTCTTTTTGTAGAAGTGGAACAAAATTGGGCCAAAGGGTTGAATAGCTTATACTTTTTGCTGTATGTTCCCAATTTGTTTTCTAAAAGGATTTTTGTCTATTTACATTCCCACCAACAATGGCATTGGGATTTATTATTTAAAGTGATCATTTAATAGATGAAAGAAGATATCACATTATTGTTCTAATATTCTCTCCCTCTCTCCATCCCTCCTTCCTTCCCTTTTCTTATCCTTCCCTTCCTTCCTTCTTTTCTTTGCTTTTCTTTTTGATTTCTGGTGATGTTGGAGAGTTTTCCGACAGTTTTCTTTTTTTTTTTCTAACAGGGTTTTCAACAGTTAAGAAATCCTGGTGGCACAATGGTTAAATGCTCATCTCATAACCCCAAAGTCAGTGGTTTGAATCCACCAGCTGCTCCACAAGAGAAAGATGTAGCAGTTGGCTTCTGTAAAGATTACAGCCTTGGAAACCCTATGGAGTAGTTGCACTGCTACCCTGCCCTATAGGGTCACTATGAGTTAGAATTGACTCAACAGCAATGAATGTGTGAGTGTGTCTCAACAGTTGACCACAGGTCCCAATGTCCTAAACTAGGGTTCCAGAAGTGCCAATGTCCAGAAGGAGCCTCTCTGCAGGACTTTGGGACATGAGAATCTCACTGCCAGGCTCCTGTCCTTGGCAGAAGACCCTAAAGCCCCAAAGTCCCCCAGATCAGAGGAACTACTAGTTTTCCCATCTGGAAAATGAGGATGGTACATGCTAAAGGTCTTGCCTGGTTCTAGAAGTGGTAGGACCAGTTTTTTTTTCTGTTACTACATGATTATACAGCTTTAGTCTGGTGAGGTCATGATTGCCTTTGATTTGGCACTTTTTTTTTAAAATTTTTATTGTGATTTGGGTGAAAGTTTACAGAGCAAATTCATTTTCCATACAGCAGTTCACATACACTTTGTCTCATGACATTGACTGCAGTTTCCCACAATGCAACAGCTCCCCTCCTTCTTCCTCCCCATAGTTACCTCTTCCCTGTGTCCATCCCTCCATGCACTTCTGCCCCCCAAGCTGTCTCTCTGTGCATACACAGATCTTCTATTCTCCCAGGATTGATCTCTCAAAGGAGTGTATCTACCTAGTGTAAATGTTCACTTCATATGCCTGTCTTTTGTTAGGCTACAGGAGTGGGTTCATTCCAGACCTGAAGGGCAGCTAGGGGTCATAGTCTGAGGGGTTCCACTAGGCTCTATGGATAGCAAACCTAGTCCCTTTTTTTTTTTTTGTTATTTTGAGTTTTATTCCACATTGTTCTCCCACTCTAACATAGATGCCCCTCTGAGTGGTTGACAGTGGTAGCTGGGGTACCATCTAGTTCTTCTGATCTCATAGTCATATAGGCTGAGGATCACATGGTAGACCAGTCCCTTGGACTAATTGTTTTCATGCATCTTTGGTTTTCTTCCTTCTTTGCTTTGGATGAGGAGAGAGCCATCATTGCATCTAGATGGCTGCATGCAAGCTTTTAAGATCCTCGTTGCTACTTGTGATTTGGCACATTTTGGACCAACTGTCCTGAATCATTTCCTATGGAGAGATTCCACAGGGGACCGTCCCAGTTTTGGCCTCTGTCATTGCCTCTTACTCTACTGCAGAGAATCCTAAACCTATTTCCACTTAAATGCTGTGAATACAATTCACAAGTAGTGTTACCCTCATGACAAATCTCTCTCATCTACTGGCCCACAGAGCTGGGCTCATGACCACCTATGCAACCAGATTCCTTCCTGGAAACAACAGAAGAGTCCTTATGCCCCACCATGCCCAACTGTCAACAGATCCTTGCCACGTGAAGAGGACCTGAGAAGCTGGAGGGGAGGGAAGGATGAGACCCACCCCAGATGAGGAATGGAGACTTCAGAGATGAGTGAGAAAGGGATGGTGGCAATTGGCCCTGAAGGCCAGGTTCCTGCAGTTTCCCTTTTAATTCTATGATACCCTCTTTCCCCATATCCTTCATAGCAGTATGGACCAATCACATTCCATTTTGTGAATTAAGTTAATTTGAAGTTGATTTTCTCTGTTGTTGTTAGGTGTTGTCCTATGAATTTTCAACTCATAGTACTCCATGTGACAGAGTAGACCTGCTTCATGGGTTTTCTAGGCTATAATCTTTACAGAAACAGCTTGCCAGGTTGGCTGACTATGTGACTTCAAACTGTCACCTTGCTGTAGCAGTCGACGGCTTAGCCATTTCACCATTACCAGATCTTTCTCCCTCCCTCCCTAGCTCCTTCCCTTCTCTCTCAAATAATTCCCACTAACATGTTATCTATGAATGCCTGCCCTGTTTATTCCTAATGGGAGACCTCCCAGGCTTATCCTTTTCTATTGTTTTTTTGAATGTAACTTTTTATTTTAAAATAACTATCAATTCACAGGAAGATGCAATATAGTACAGAGGTCTCATGTACATTTCACCTGCTCTCCCTCAATGGTAACATCTTAAATAACTAAATACAGTTCAGTACCAGAACCAGGAAATTGAGATATTAGTGCAATTCACAATTCTTCACCCTCCCCCTTATTTTAAATTATCTACAGGTGTAAGTTAAAAGACAGGGGGGAAAAAACCCTAGTTGCTGTGGAGTAAATTTCAACTCATGGTGATCTCATGTGTGTCGGAGTAGAACTGTTCTCCATAGAATTTTCAGTGTCCTGATGTTTTGGAAGTAGACCACCAGGCCTTTCTTCCATGGCACCTCTGGGTGGACTTGTGTCTCTAACCTTTTGGTTAGCAGCCAAGCATGTTAACCATTTGCACCATGCCAGGACTACACAAGTGTAAGGTAGAACCTAGCTATTGCTTTCAGGAGATTTAGGACCTAGTGAAGAGAAGCAGCAGCAGGTAAGTTCAGGTGTGATGAGCCACTAGGCAGGGGCAGGATACTACCTTCAGAGAGCACTTGTGTGTCCCAGGAAACCAGACACTTTGTATTTCCATTAGTCTCACAATAATCCTGTTAACACAGGCACTATTATCATTCCTTCTTTGGTAAGAAGAAAACTGAGGCACAGAGAAGTTAAGCAATTTGCTTAAAGTCACAGAGTTGTCAGAAGGCAGAGTTGGAGTTTAAACCCATGTAGTTGTTCCCAGAGCCCTTCTGCCCAACTATTATGCAATAGTAATAGCAAAGAGCAGAAATGCTTTTCTTGAGCCCTTCTTGAACTCTCCTCACTTCCTATTCCTCCTTCCCTCTTGCACCCTTTTACCTCCCACATGCTCACTTGGCTTTCTGGATTAAACACTTAAAAAAAAAAAAAAAAAAAGCTGCAGCCACATTTATGAATTACTCTAGTTTCACCCTAAGAGGGGTGACATTCTCTGGGTGCACCCTTTGGAAGAGAGGCTGGGTCAGAGGGGAAGCCAGACCTTCAGGGTCATTAGTGGTGCAGGAGGGCTGGGAGTCTAGCTTCATTCTCTACGGATTGCTTCTTGGTGGGTAAGTAAGTCTATGAAACAAAAACAAACTCGGGAGAAGAGAGTCTTGCACAGCAGAGGAACACGTTTACTTGTCAGTTCACGGTTTCAGTTCATGGTTTCAGTCCCCAGCCTGATGGTGCTGGACATGGCGAAGATGACAGTGGTAGGTCGTAGTGGTGCTAGGTGGTGCCCTTGACGTCTCACTCTGGGGGTGGGCAGGGAGAAGGGCATTTAGGAGGACAGGGCTTGGCACAGATGGGCTTAGAAGGGCATGGTGGGGGGCACAAAGTGGGACATGGTGGAGGGCATGGAGGGGGGCCTTTTGGTACACATGGTGATGGACACTTGTCACGTGGACACTTGTCAGAGCACCGTTGCAACAGCTTCTTTAAACAGCTGGGCTGGCATTTGGGCTCACACTTTTGTTCACATTTAGGTTCACACTTTTGTTCACACTTAGGTTCATTCTTTTGTTCACCAGGTTTACTTTTATCATCACTGGACATTGCTTCTTTATTTTCAGGGCCCTGCAAAGAAATACGAGACTGGTTTTAGGTGGGAGACCACACTTGAGGTCAGAGAGGACCAGTGCAGGCCTCCTACTCATGCCTGCTGCCTGCCTTTGTTCTTAAGAAGCCTGTCTGGAGAAGGGTTCAGTCTCTAGGCCATCTTCTCATTTAAGAGGCTGTCCTCTTATCATTCGTATGGATTTATTACAAGGTTTCCTGCTCTCCCCATCATTACTCTAGATTCTTTTCACTTACCCTCATTTCCATTCCATAGCTTGCTTCATAACCTAGAGTCCTTTAACTCCCAAACACAGCAACTGTATTTCAATATAGCTGTTATCACCCTTGATCACCCTTTGGGCCTGGAATTGAACTCATTCCCATGGTGGCTTCCAGCCAAACAATAGACAGGCATAGAAGGTGAATATTTACATCAGGTAGATACATTCCTTAGAACTAATCAACCATGGGAGATCAGAAAGGCAGTATTTGCACAAGGATATAGCTCAGAGGGCAGGAATGCATAGGAAAGGACACAGGGAAAAGGTAACCACAGGGAGGAAGTGGGAAGAGAGCTGTTATATTAGGGGATTGCCATCAATGTCATGACACAAAATGTGTATGAACTCTTGTATGGAAAATGAATTTGCTCTATAAACTTTCACCCAAATTACACTAAAAAAATATAGCTGATATCTTCTCTAACCCATGTATTTTATTTTATTCATTTAAAAACCATTATTCTGGGGAGTTTGTAAATTTGATCAGGGTAGAAAAAAGGTTTTAAAAAACCACTGAGAGGCCACCTCTGGAGGTATATTAGTGGATTAGGGACTTGGGTTCATTCCCTCTTGTGTGGAGCCTAAGCACCCAGAACTTTGAGAACTGTTTTCTTGAGAAGTAAGGAAGAAGAGATAACTGAATCTCTGGTATGATGGGGTTCCTGTGGACCACTCTAAAACTTCTCTTCCAAACCATCCTCATTCCCTGCCTGGTTTGTACCTAGCCCTTTAGTGTAAGGAAAAGCATCCGAGAAGAGATGAACTGGGAAGTGCTCTGAAAACACGAATGCCAGAGCTACACAGTATGATTTTAAGAAGAGAGTTCCTTTTCCCCTGTTGAATTTTACCTTGAGCAAGGTATTCCTATATGGACAGCGTAACTTTTAGGATGTAGACAGGGCTTTTCAGTCCCTGACAATACTGTAGGTTGTATCTATTGCTGCACTTTTAATTTCCCTTAACAATATAAAAATAAAGTGTTAGCTAATTTACTTTAGTTTTAAAATCTGCCTCTCTGAAAGTGTTAAAAATCTCTGTTCTAAGGGGAAGTGCACTCCAGTTCTTGCTCTGAATGTGTGAGGAATCTCTCATTCAGCCATCCCATCCCTGCTCAGTGCGTGGAGGCTGCAGGCCCCTTCTCAGAGAAGAGAGGTAAAGGAGGGGCCATTTCCAGTTGTTCCAATGCGACTTACCTCTTTTGTTGGTAGAGAACTTGACAAGTAGTCGAGTGAAGTGGATGTTATAGCTGTGCTTGGGAAGGTGGACTTTCCGTCTGTTTCCTCTGCCCAGCTCTAAAGGAGCTGTGGGGAGGGAGGGGGGACTCCCACTTGTGAGGTCACGCCCCGCATCATCAAGGAGCAATTGTTGTGTGGCTGCAGAGCTCCAGCTCAACTCCAAGCCTCTCTGTAAGAGGAGACCTATGAGTAATCATCCCCTTTGCTGCTCCACCAATTCCCTCAAAATTCATGCTGGTGAAACCAGGCCACAGTGAAAGCTACGGACTGTAAGGACAGTCAGGCTCATTGTTGCTAGGAACAGAAAAGCTTCACTAGGGTTATCCATGATGTCTCTTTTCTCCCCCAGCCTCCCCAAACTTTGATGTAGTTGTGTGCTTTCAAGTCAATTACGACTCACAGTGACCCTATAGGGTAGAGTAGAACTACTACATACAGTTTCTAAGGCTGTAATCTTTACAGAAGCAGATGGCTACCTCTTTCTCCTGTGAAGCAGCTGGTGGGTTTGAACCAATGACCTCTCAGTTAGCAACTGACTGCTTACCCACTGGGCCACCAGGGCTTCTTCCTCAAACTTTAACTTCTCTGCAAATGTCTCCTTCTTCACCTTTTTAGCAAAGCTTCTCTGGATTGATTATAGCCACTTGACCTATTTTTCTAAAATTTCTTTTACCACTCTACTCTTCTTGGCCCAAATCCAAGGCTTATTTCAGCTCTTTTGCTCAGTGTCTCTGCCTACAACTCACTGTTTATAGGACTCTGAGATAATTTTTTTTTTTTTTTTTTGCCATTCTGAGTGGTCATCCCCTGATATACAAGGCAAATGTTGTATATTATAAGGGAATTCAGTTTGCTGCACCTGAGCATTCCTGACCAGTTGGTTTAACCTCAGGTGCTGTCTCAGAACAGAAATATTTGCAAGACAGAGCCTCTGAAAGGGTTTCTTTTTGGCCTTTTCAAAGTCCCAGCCAGTGGAGGTTTGTAACTGGAATAGGGGTGAGTCTGGTGGTAATGGGAGGTTGGTGTGGGAAAGGTGAGTGGGGCTCAGGCACCAGTGCCTTGAACTTAGGTCCAGAAAGTTGATTTTGGCAATCTTTCACTGATGAGTTACAAGGGTCTTTTGGTTAAAATTATAATGTAATCATGTTGAAGATGCCAAAAGATATCTTTAAAGTTTAAGTGGGATGGATTGTGGGTGGTGGTGGAAGAAAGTAGAATCATCTTATTGCAAAGAAGTTATAAAAATGTCTAAAATCAAAGGAGGACAGTCATTGTGGTAGAAAGAAGGGGCTAATGCAAGAAACATCATCAGAGAGGCAACTTTATGGGATTTAGTTACTGGTATGGTGTGGAAAATTAATAAGACAGAAGAAAGGAGAAATTAAAAAAGAAAACAGATTTCAAGCTAGTGGTATTTTTGTTCATTAGGACTAAGGACAAAAGTGAATATGTTTGTGTTGGAAGAAGATGGACTTGTGTGTGAGTATGTTGAGTGTGGATACAGTGGAGCGTCTTGGATGGCTATTGGAAATATGGCCCTCATGCCACTGGTCAGACTGAGTTCCTTTCAGTCCAACAATGAACAATGAATGAGTGAGCATGGGCTGGTCTTGGAAGAGGATTAGGGAAGCAGAGAGAGGGCTGGAGAGGATGGGGAATTCCAACATAGGGCTTATTTGTTGTTCACAAAGGAGAAGGAATTAATTACTAAATATGGTAATATTTTAAATCCAAATTAACCAAATGAAAGGGTAGCTTGGGCAAGAATTTAACCTCCTACAATTGGGACACTTGGTGTTAGATTCTTACTTTTAGTATCAGCCCCATTCCTGTCTACTCATTTTGTTTCCTTCCTATATTTTGTCCATGAGTTCCATCTCCTAAAGCTGGAGAGAAACATTTCCTACCTCCATCTGCTCATCCAGGAGCAGGAGACCCAGTCATATCTGCTCTTCAGCTCTGGACCAAAGACATAAATATGGATATGGAGAAGGCAGTGATTTGTAAGAGTAATGTCAAAAGATGTAGTGGTTTCTGCTGATCTTTGTCATCTTCCTCTCTTCTTTCTTCCCTGTCTTATTTCTTCTTCAAGAATTTCATACTGAATGAAAGTCTATTATCACTGGACCACCATCACAATATAATTTGTCTATCTTTTCAGTCTTTTAAACCTCCTGTCTAAAGATCAGCACTCTTGGAATTTAGTAGCCAAGGGAGTAGGCTAACTTTTGGCTTAGGGTTTGGTTGGCAGTGGCTGGCAGACAGGCACCACAGAGATGAAACATAGAACAGTTTTCTTGGGTGGCTGGATTTCATAAAGAGAGAAGCTGGAAGAGGAGATAAGTGGGTGTTGAACCCTGGCCTTGGTTGAGAGTGAGGATCCCTAAGTTCAAACTGTGCCTTTGTCCTTCACTTAACCAATAACCCCCTAGTAAGTTACCTAACCTTTATAAGTTTCGATTTCCTCCTCTATAAAATACTGTAAAATAGAATGTATATTAAGATAATCTATAATTTACATGGAGTGCTTACAACATGCTAAGCACATTTTCCAGTGTAGAGCCTACACTCTTAATTATATCCCATGGCTTCCCTGTACTCATAAGGTAGTTGGGAAAATTAAATAAGATTCTAAAACTGGAGAGCCTACAATAAATGTTTGCTATGTTTTCCTAGTTGATTGGATAAACAGAACTTGCAGAAGGAAGTCAGAAAACAACTCAATTCCTTCCCTGGTGCCTCTTCAAACCCTCTCTGTGGAATTGACTTTTCCTTCCCCCTAAGATGAAATCTCTGGCACTGAATTTTAGGATTTTGCTTACACAAAGTGTTAAAAAGCAAAAATGTCACTTTGAGGACTCAGGTACAGTTGACCCAAGCCATTGTATTTTCAATTACTTCATGTGCACGCAAAAGCAAGTGAATAAAGAAACCAAGGAAGAGTTGATACCTTTGAATTATGGTGTTGGCGAAAAATATTGAATACAGCATGGATAAGCAGAAGATTGAACAACTCTGCCTTGGAAGAAGTACAGCCAGAATGCTCCTTAGAAGAAATGATGGCAAGACTTTGCCTCACTCACATACTTTGGACATGTTATCTGGAGGGACTAGTCCCTGAAGAAGGACATGATGCTTGGTCAGGTAGAGGGTCAGGAAAATCCCCAACAAGATGGGTTGACACAGTGGGTGCAACGATGGGCTCAAACACAGCAATGATTGTGAGGATGGCACAGTACAGGGCAGTTTCTTTATGCTGTGGATAGGTTCCCTATGAGTTAGAACTGACTCTTCGGCACCTAACAACAACCACAACAGCAGCAACAACAGGCCAAATCACTTCTAGTTATATAAGTAATCTTATTGCAGAATTGAAAGGTCTGTTTCCTTGAACTTTAGATTTCCTTCTCTTGCCCACTCAGGATTGCTGAGGCAGGAAGCCTGCACAGGAGAGGACAGCAGCTTCTCTGATTGCACCTTG